ACATATTTTATCTTTTTATGCTTACCTTTGAAGATTGAGTAATGTTGTTTCAAGCAACAACCAGTGTCTTGGTTCTCAGAGAGAGGTCCACATAAAATATTAGACAGGAAAGTAAAGCAAAGGAAAACTATATCCAACAGTAAATATAGATTTATATATTCTATAGTCTTTCACTGATTAGTTTCACATTAAGGCTTGAAATCGATTTTACTTCTAAACTACGCGGATCATTACATACAAAACATGATCATGAGTGTCATTCATTACAGTAACAGTATATCTGCAAGAAATATAGTTTTTTTCTTTATCTTCGAATATTTATAAAAAGAATTCACTTAGCTTATTGTATATGTATGTACTAAATGGTTGATGATGATGAGCTGTAATGCTTAAATCTAAAATAAATTTTCTTTTTCTGCTAAGATGTCTTAAATTTCATTGTATAGTGACAAATAACAGGTCTTTTTCTTTGATAAAGGCTGACTACAATGATGAATACGCAGTTTCATAAAGATGTCGTCGACAACTTTGAAAACAAAATGGCAGTGCTTAAGAAAGAAAATGAGGACGTACGTCAACAGTGTAGGATTGAAAAAGACGGGAAGGATGAAGCCCTGCAAAGGTCCGTTTCCTGCATAAACACTCTACTGTATATAAGTTATTATAAGAACAGACAATTTCAAGTAACAAAAATTCAAGTAAAATTAATGGGTTGTTCTCAGCTAAGTCATTCCCAAATCATATATCTTTGTTGACACATTGACCAACCGGTTTGCAATATAATATATTGTACTGTAATAGTATATAGATTACTCTGAAATAAGATGTCATAACTGTAATTGAGGTTTTATAAATTATACGTTTTCATTCATAAAATTTATTTATGGTTTATGTTTACCTTTGAAGGTTGAATCATGTTGTTTCAAGCAAATTTCGAGATAACAATCAAACCATTACTGATCTTAGTGACCAGAACAGACCTATAAAGATAGCTGATAAAATGTCCGAGTTATATGACAATCAGTGGACAGATGCATTTGATGCTTTGGAGAAGAAATATTCATCAGATTTGGACATAATCAGTGCCCTTCTAGAATCATTAATGGTAAATCCTATTACTCATTAAAGCACCTTATGTTTTTTTAACTCCATGGTAATTGACTATAAATATACTGGTACAAAACAAAATGAAAAATAAACTCTAGTTATTGTCCGGGAACACATTTGTCTATGTTGGTAACAGTAGAATAGACCTTGTCTCCAGGGGTCCAAAAGTAATCCCGGCCGAGGTTTTCACATAAGGTTGCCATATACCAAGTTTGACTGAAATAGCTTATTCAAAACATAAGTTATCGTCCGGAAATCAAGAAAAAGACCGACCGACAAGCTTACTCCTATTTAGTCCCTCAACTTCGTTTGTAGGGGTAAAATAAAATATGAATTAAATTGCAAAGAAACAATCAGCAAACGATATAGCACAGATCATTAAATTTTGTTTTTGCATTTTCTCAGGATGAATAAATTGGTAAATTGGATGTTTGACTCCATATAATGTCATTCTTTACAGATAATTTGATGTAAGTGGACTTTATAATATAATTACTGTGCTGTTATATTAATGATCTTCAAAGTCCTTTATATAAATTTAACAATTACCATTTAAAATAGATAATTTGCTAATGCACTACAAAGTAAAACCAATATTAATTGATAGATTTTTCATCGATTACGTCAAAGCACTACAAGCAAAATTCCTAGAATATGTTTCTCCTTGAATATTATTTTTCGTTTCATTTGATTACAGTCTCCAATGCATTTAATTAGGTGGAATATATAAGACATTCAAAAAAAATTAAAAACACATTAAAACATTTTTACAGAAACAGGAAAACCGATGTTTAAAAAGAAAAGAATTATTGTTCCTGTACATTACTGGGCCGCATGACAGTGTAGGTATTAGTTATTTCATTGTAGCTATCAACATATGTGTAGCCAAAGTATATATTAAAACAAAATGAAAATAATAAAACTCTCACTCTTAAGTCTTTATAAATAATTTTGTATTCGTTTCCAAATCCATTACATATATAATTTGGCATATCTTGTATTTATATGGATATAAGCTAGAAGGGATTTTTGTCACAAAACATATGTCTCCCAAAACTAGGTATGGTAATGATCACGACAGAAGTTTTTCCTGTGAATTCCGGACAAGTTTTTCTTATTGTCATACACTGTAAATTTGTGATATTTTCTGACCGCTTTCTGTTTTAATATTCATAAAAAATAATAAAAAAATTCTGACAATATCATGATAAGGAAACTTCTTTTTACGATTTCATGATATACTTAAAGTTATATTCCTGGTCAAATTCATCAAAACAGATTGTCAAATTAACGCCTTATTGTTATTAAATGCATTATTTAACAAGTATTGACAAAGTTTTCCAACTTAGAAACGTTCTCCGTAACATTTCTGACCATTCTAAAAAATGCATTTTCTTATTTGACTGGGTTAGTCAAATAAGATTTATATTTTGGCGGGAAGCCCTTCGATTATTTCCATAAATGTTCGGATCTGAGTCAAGTGATATGAATATTTATCAAACCAAAATAATGGCGGACAATACGAAAGGCGTGTCACGTATACGAGAAATAAATTTTGAGATTGGAAAAGGAAAAAGCGAAGAGTGGAAAGAAACTGTGATTTAATTCAATCAAGGATATACTCCGGTAGTGATTCAAAGCGATGAAAAGTTCAAAAAAGGGTAATTAAAACCAAAAGCGACCGTGAAGTTGTTATCTGATTGACAGGTGAGGTGATCATCGTTTTTGTTTGCATTTAATTTTTTCTTGGTCTTAGATCTACTTTTAGAAAAATGTCACCTACGAATATATAAACACAGATATTGTGTTATAGTTTTTAGGATGGTTTTGACTTATGATAAAGAAATAAAGCTTGCAGATCCACGTCTGTGTATCAAGTTTTCGTTCACTGTAATTTTCGTACATATTAAATAAAAGATCGGCTGAGCCTAATCCTTTACAATTTTATGGCGTATGTTGTAACCATTGTAATATCGTTCAAGATGGCCAATCACTATCCTTTAAGAATCATTTAAGAGACAACAAAATTATATTTTGAATAACTTTTATTTTCCAATCACGTTATTGTTTTTTACTGTAAGCTGTACTTTATAGTAACTACAATGCTGTGAAATATATTAGCCACATGTGTCTCAAAAAGGGTTAGAGCTATTGACTAGCAGAACAGGCATTTCTTCAAAGCATGTTCAACTATCAAGGGTAGTCCTATAAATGTGACGTCCTTTGATTTTGAGATATTTTTTTGCTTTTGGGCAACCTTGACCGACATTTTAGCAATAACAAGCCCGTAAGTCTGATATATTGATCTACTAGCCAGGGTTGTCGAATCTTCAAAGAAATAAAGTAGAAAAAATAAAATGTTGTCTGGAAAATCGCACAAAAAATCAAAATTTTGTCTCATTTGAATCATTTTCGTAGTAAAATTTCAGCATTTCACAATTTGAAAAATAATCATGGACAATAACCATAATTGTGCTGAAAACGTTACATAATTCTTAAGACAACCCTTCTTCCTAATAAGCAGTGCAGCAATTCATGTATTGTAATTGGTTTGAATTGTCAAGATTTTAAGCCATGGTACTAGTATGCTATATTTTCAATTACAGAAATAAATCAATTTCATCATCATTATGTGTTGCAATACCAGGGACATCAAAGATGACCTCGACTTCAGTGCATATGCAGAGGAGAGTAAGTACACCATTTTTGTCGAAAGTGACAGGTTATAATCTACCCAATACCTTTCAAAATTTCTATATAACTATATACGTGCATAACTTAAATAATTCAGGTGTCATCTTAAATGATGAGTTTGATATTTGTATGACTCCATAATATTATTATAGGTAACTGTTCACTGAGGTGAAAAAATAATAGAGGGTCATTATAGGTCTTAAATTCCACTTGCGAAATAATATATATCGTTTTTGGAAAGGATTCTGTTATGTAGTCAATTCTCAGACCATACAACAAAATTGTTACAGTTTCCTCAAAAGTGGAGTATACTTTCTTAGTTACAATCAAACATCATGAAAAATTACTAATTTCTAGCTTGTTTTTTTTTCAAAGCTGTTACATTCTTTGTCACATTGCTATGTCGGCATACAATTGCATTATTTAAATATTTTGAAATGTATCAACATGAAACTTGAAAGACTTGCTTATGAGGACAAAGTGTAATTGTTAAACAGGGGAGCATACATGTTCTTATGAAAGCAGTCATTGAATTTAGCACTGGCCCGGTGGCCCATGGCCAGTGAAAATTAGTTTGGGCCAGTGTAAATTTTAAGAAAATGTAGTTAAATATATAGTAGAATAAATTTAAAACTGGAATTGGGGCCAGTGAATTCAAAATCTTAAATTCAATGACTGTGAAAGCAATATATTTTAAGTTATATCCCTTTTAAACTAAGAATTTTTAACAGACTGGTGTTATCACTGCATGCAATACTGCGGTATTTGTTGTTAATAACAAGGGCAGATTCATGTCCTATAGTAAAACTTGGTGAAGACTGAATATATACAATTCTTATGTAGATTATTTTTCGCTAAAATAAAAAGCAATTCCACAATTGATTTTTTTTCTTCTAAATCTTAAGCAAGTTATGGTTGAATCTTCAGGTAGCACTAAAGAAAGCCAATAAAATCCTTTTGGAGTTGAATTGAGACAGAACAATTCATTATAAAACTGCTACAAACTATAAACTATTCATGGTAAGTAAACAATTATTATATATTTGATTTTGTTTGAATGTTTGATATTTTTATATGATTATTCTGTTGCTCAAGAAATATTTAGATAAAATGCTAGATAGCAATACATAATTGTCATTTGTTGCAAGAAAATTAATGCATGCAAGATGTTTCGATGCATAATGTGGAATACTTCATAGGTTTATGGTAAGCATTTTATATGTAAACTTAATGTGAAATGCTTAGTACTGTTTCATAAAACTTGTTGAAGGCTGACTTTTTGCCATTTTTTAATGCATGCTTATTTGTCTTGATATTTTTTTTCAGGGAATGATATATTTTAGTGTCTGCATCATTCATATAGTTATTGAGCATGGATGGATTCTGTTTATACAGCAATGCCTAGTACAATCATGGCCCATTAGAAACCAGTACAAACCATGGCTGCAAAGGAAACAAGATGCACATAGTCTGAAAGATCTGGCTGATGTTCTGAATAGGATGACATAATATCTCAACTGCAGGTATGTTCTCATCAGGTACAATAAAAGAAATTAACATTGACAGGGTTTCCCCTGGATCAATTTTAGTTTGCACCACCAGATTGGCCAATCAAAAATGTTGAAGCCAATGGCTTCGATGTTGGAACCATTAATTCTGCAAGGGATATATGTCTATCTTTGTTAAGATATGCTAGCAGTTTGGAGTGAAATTTTTAAAAAGGATTTATTTTCCTAACTGGAAAGGAGTATATGTCCTGATTAATTCAAAGCTCATATGTCTATTGATTATATTCTGTTCAATGTTTACAACATCTTTATATATTAACACAAATGGACCTACAACCATTATGTATAAAGTAATTGGCACATTTATTACACTTATCAATTGAATGATACAGCTGTGTAAGATCTTTTCAAAGATAATTATTTACATACAGAGATTATATCTAGCATATGATTTTTCCTTACTAAAATCATTTAAATGAAAATATCTTTTCCATTATTTGTATTCATTTTTAGAAGTACAGCTGGCATGTAGGGGTTTCACCAGCACATCTTGATGTATTGTACCAAAAGATTTGCTTACACACCACCTGTTTATAGGTTGCAGCCATATATTATAATATACATGCAAATAGACCACAAATCACCAACAAGGGGGATTTGTTAGGTATGCTACTTACAAAACTCCAACATCAATCACAATTTTATAAAATGAAAGAAAACAGTGTCCAGTTTGTGTTAATAAAGTGAATTGTTTGGAACTATATTAATGTTCAACATAGATGTACTCTGTACTGAGTCTAATATGGATGTAACATGTTCCTTTGTTTATTTCAATAGAACGATTTAAGTTCTTCAAACATATAAAGAGGCAAAACCTTAATAAAATGTTGTGCTTTATCTTCTTTGGGCATATAGATTCTCAACATTTTTTTTTTCATTTTTGCATATGAATATAAATATTAGTATTAAATATCTTAGTATTAAATGTTCCTGCCTCTATGAATTATAAGATATTTTTATTGAAAGTGTGATCACTATGCATATATATTGCCTATATAATATCAATTTCAATCAAAAGAGATTTTGCAGTCTCTGAATAACCTGACTAATAAATTTTGAGGACATAATTACATGTAATGCATTTTGAGAATTGTATACACTTATGATTTTTGTTATAACAGGCTTGTTAATTTCTCATTTCAGACTTCAGCGAGTCTGGATGAATTAAAGAAGAAGAAAAAGTATCATTATATGGATACCATTTTACATGATGCTATAACTCTGAGAATTAGTGACAGGGAGGGGATATATAAAATAGAAAGTTAGAGGAAGATGACCCCCACAGACTTTCAAAAAATGTGGCCCAAGTTAGCCCAAAGCCTACCCGAGCCATTCATGAGGAACATAAATCAAGATATGATTGCTTTTTTATGGAAAAGAATGATAAATAGTGTGTTACACTGATTGCCCAACTATTCAAACATATTTAAGCTGACATTGAAAACCTGGTATTCATGATAGTTTTATAAAATATCTTTTTAGATATGGCACTGTATTTATCTTGTTTCGAAAAACATACTCTTGATTCATTTGTCATGCCTCAAGGTCTGTTTTTAATATTTTGTCAGAAAAAATGACTACTTTTTATACAAGTGCAAAATATTATCCAATCTATTAAACTATAAGTGCTGCTATGAGCTTTAATGTAGTAAACAAAGTTAAAAGTATTATTCAATTATATCTTTTGATATACATGTACTATGTCATTCACTTTAGCTTAGCTTTTCTTTTTTAGCTCACTTGTCACAAAGTGACAGGGTGAGCCTTTGTGATCGCTTTTCATCCGGCGTCCGTCTGTCCGGCGTCTGTCGTCCGTAAACTTTTATTTTAAATATCTCCTCATAAACCACTAAGCAAATTTCATCCAAACTTTACAGGAATGTTCCTTTGGTGGTCACCTTTGAAAATTGTTCAAAGAATTTAATTCCATGCAGAACTCTGGTTGCCATGGCAACCAAAAGAAAAAAACTTTAAATATCTTCTTCTAAAAATCCAAAGAGCTAGAGCTTAGATATTTGGCATGAAACATCTTCTAGTAAGTGTTTACCAAGTTTGTTCAAATGGAAGCCCTGGGGTCAAAATTGGCCCCGTCCCAGGGGGTCATTGATTTTCCCTATATGCATTTAGTAAAAACTTAAACAATCTTCTTTTAAAGAACCTAAAAAGCTAGTGCTAAGATATTTAGCATGAAACATCTTCTAATGGGTGTCTACCAAGTTTGTTCAAATAAAAGCCCTGGGGTCAAAATTGGCCCTGCCCCATGGGGTCATTGATTTTCCCTATATGCAAAAAGTAAAAACTTAAAAAAATCTTCTTTTAAAGAACCCAAAGAGCTAGAGCTAAGATATTTAGCATGAAACATGTTCTAATGGGTGTCTACCAAGTTTGTTCAAATAAAAGCCCTGGGGTCAAAAATGGCCCCGCCCCAGAGGGTCATTGATTTTCCCTATATGCATATAGTAAAAACTTAAAAAATCTTCTTTTAAAGAACCCGGATAGCTAGAGCTAAGATATTTAGCATGAAACATGTTCTAATGGATTTCTACCAAGTTTGTCTAAATGAGAGCCCTGGGGTCAAAATTGATCCCGCCCCGGGGGTCATTGATTTTCCTAATATGCACAGGATTGCAAAAACTTAAAAAATCTTTTTTGAAACAAACCAAGTAGCTAGAGTTTAGACACTAAGCATGAAACATCTTCTAGTGAGTGTCTACCAAGTTTGTTCAAATAAAAGCCCTGGGGTCAAAATTGGCCCTGCCCCATGGGGTCATTGATTTTCCTTATATGTGTGTATCATGTTTGTTAAAAAGTATTTATTTTAACATACCTGTCGCTGCTAACGGAAAGTGACAGTGTATCATGAGTGGGTAAGAACTTATTGTGATTATCCCAGCAACGTTGACAATAGTATCTGCCATATCGGCAGCAGTCTCGACATATGTGTGTTGCTTTTTCAGCCTTTTCATTTGCTGCACAGAGTGTACACATGTCAGATACTGAAAATGATTCACACAAGGGAGCTTCTATAGGTGTCTCTATATCCCATCTTCTCATAACCGAAGACGCATCATTAGAAGATACAGATTGATAATCTTCCGATTCTTTTGAGATGCTGCCTGAGTGTGACTGACTTCGAACGCTTACAAAACCACTTTTCTCTGACGCCGGGTGTTGTTGTTCATTAATTGTCCTGTTTTGTGCCATATTGTACAATTTTAATTATGTATCTTTGTCAGCTTGTGTTTACTTAAGACCACAGTTTATGAAAAGGGGAATGATAATATAACTTAGGAAAAATGATACCAATATCCAGCCTTGTTGCCTTCGTTTCAGTCACTTCTTATACAAAATGATAGCTTTAAAACATGAGCAACCCATCGCTGTCTATGACATCTTGTAATATTTCTTAATCTGCAGCAGGAATATCAATCACTTTCTTTCACATGCATCAAATATAATACTTCATTTTGTTCAAACGATGATTATCAAATTCCGTCACACTCGGGTACTTTTGCAAAAACATTTTTGAAAGATGTCGTTACATGAAACACTATATTTGTTTAGTTCTTTTAAGCCGTCCACAGAAGTCAAGCAAGGATGTGTAATACTGCTGGCTTGAATTGCAAACAACAAAAAAACATTAAAGATAAGTAACCTTTGTGAGACTGATCTAAAGATATTAAAGATATTGTTATCAAATTCAGTAATGAAATCCGAAATAAATGCTGAAGCTAAGATAATATCGTAAAATCAATATGATATAAGTGACTGAATTTCAAAGAGGTCAACCTGCTTTGAGCGACTGCTTTTGTATTGACATATGTGAAGGGTAGGTCTTCTCTATTTTGTAGAGATACCTCCAACATACGATGGTAGACAAAGTTGTGACTGGTTTCATCATGATAAATGAATAAGGCAGGCTATATTCACCTGAAATAAAATGTATAAGAATAAATTATTGGCTGACAGTTGACTCCTTTAAAATATGTACGAGAATAGCTGGTAAACATTTTTTATTATAATTTGAATTTATGATACTGGACGTTTGTAACGTCGCTTTTCTTTGGATACTCGGGACGTTTAAATTTACTATATACACGGCTAATGCTATTTTATGAAGATTTTATTTTTTCAAAGGTAGTTCGCTGTATTAAAAAATCGTTATTAAGATTCTTGATAGGTTATATAGTCGTATAATAACAGTTGGTTGCAATATAAAAAATCTGGAAACAAAGTTATCCCTCGGAAGCATTCAGCGCAAAAAACAGAATTGCAGACTCAGTTTGATTGAGTCTGTACATTAGGGATAATGAATACGTGAAACCCTCACGTCCCCTAGCACCGGCTTGAGCGGTACTCAATTCTCAACAGGCATCAATGATCCCAAAGGACCAGAAAAATATAACAACACTGAAGTGAAGTACGGGGCAACGTTTTAACCGCTGCCTCACAGCACTTGACACCTGCTGTTATGAAGTATAAAAATCTGAGAACAATGTGATCCATCGGAAGCATTAATCACAACAAAATAACAATTGAATGGCAGACTCGGTTTGATTGAGACTGTACATGAGGGATAATGAACACGTGCAACATTCCTCACGACCCCTAGCACCGGCTTGAGTGGTACTCAATTCTCAACACTTAGTAGTACTTAGAAGTATAAAAACCTGGAAACAAAGTGATCCCTCGGAAGCATTAATCAGAACAAAATTACAAGAGAAATGCAGACTTGTTTGATTGAGTCTGTACATGAGGGATAATGACTAAGTAAGCGTTTATATATGCCCATAAAACTGCAAAAAATAGTGATAACTTATATTGTATGATATTGTTTTAACAAATAAAATGTAAGAAAAACAATTACCTTTGCGATTAAAGTTCCTTTTTGTTAAATTCAAAAGCTACATAATAGCAATTTCGTATTAGTTACCCGATCAATACTACACACATTCAAAAGAAAATGCAATAAAATTAGTCCCATTCAATCATGTGGTAATGTCAGTACATTCAAAACGTTCAGTCTTCCAAATCATGCTTTTATTATGTATGTATAACTGAACGTATAATATCATAGATTATCAATTAACAATTATGTTAAAATTGATCAAATTGCGAACACTTTGTTATAGTCATATGCCCATTAAAGTTTAAATTGTCAGTGAAAATGTAGAGATAAAATAACTTGACATTTTGCCGTATTTCTTTTCAGTTTTATTTTTTTTATATCGAAAACAGAATAAACAACAATGCAAGTTACCACCGAAATTGTCTATAAATATCTTGCAGAATGTAGAATGTATCGGTAACGATCAATATTTAAAAATATTTTGACAGTCATTTTACAATTTTGGTAGTTTCTTAATTTTAAAATTAATTACTTATATTTTCAGTTATTGGTTAATCAACATAACAATCGCCAATCTTTTGAAATATATTATTAAATTTTATTCAATTTAACAGCGGTAAAAACGCGCAACGTGAAACGTATACATTAAAACAAACTATAAACATAAACTTGCATAATGAAACCCATTTTTAAAAGTTTAACAAGTGGGTTATTGGCTTTATTTTTTTTTTATATATTTCATTATTTAAGGATAATTATATTTGACTGAAATGGTGGCAATGTACCATGATACTAATGAAATCCGCATGTTGTCTTATTAGGTAAAAATAATGTCTTTTTAAGTTTTGAAGAATATTTTTTTATCTTTCTCGCAACAAGCTTGAACAAAGACAATAAAAATGGATAATGAATGACCAATTGCATTGAAGTGTTATGCTATAGAGGTCTGATAGTCATGGTCAGAGAAGTAAATAATTTATTGGCTGAATTAAGCAAGTAACTTGACCTGGTCTCTTGATCAAAATCTATTAATATTATGGAATGCACAGCGAAACCTAATATATTTTCAATCAAAAATTAATGCCGTATCAGACTGTCATAGTGAACATGAACATTTCAGGTTTCAGCAACCAATGTAATTAAAGCTCTGTCACTATTTAAACGTTTTTAGATAAATTTATCTTATCTTTTTTATAAATCTAAAATGACAATCATCATCTATAAAGGACAGAAAGGAAAATAATTAAGACTAAAATATGTTTTATAGTGTCGGCGTCTTCAAAAGAATAAGAATCAGAACACGTTATTACTGTCATTATTAAACATGCGCTGAGCTAACAATTATCCATGTATTTAAATCAGTTTATATTTTCTGCAATAACTACGATAATGGCAATAGAGCTTTGTCAACACGGGGGAGAATCATGCCGTTCCTTTCCAAAATGAACAAGATGGCGGATGCAGCCGAAAAGTAGGTTTTCCCTTTTTCTCTCTGAAATTCACAATTATCCGGGCACACAGGATTTCATTTCATGATGTTTTGTCTCGTACTTCATCTGAAATGCGCGTCACCAGATTCGAAGCACCGGTTTGGTCGTGGTAACTTACGGTTTTTTCTCTAAAATTCACTGTTTCGTTTACATATATGTATATAAACTGAAACCACTGACTATAAAAAGTTGTAATATGTCGTCATCTAAAGAGTCATGCCCATTCTGACGAGAATAACAGCTGTTAATATTCATATCGGGGCATTTCCTGGAAATGATAACGTATGGCGCACAAATATCAATTATAACGTACGGCGCATTTTTCAGCTTAATAGATTTTCTATATATCAGTTAGTTTTGGATAGAAAAGTTATGTTTCTTGCTCAGGTCTTTCCAGACATAAGAGGATGAGTAGCACCAAAGAAAGAAACTGAATATTATTTAGTGTCTGCATAATAATAATGTCTGTCCGGATAGAAATATCTAAATCTGATATGTAATCATTATAGATATGTTTTCTGGCATATCATACGCGAAATAGAGCAGCTATCCCACTTTTTGTGGTTTGTAAAGTGTCGTCAAAAGTTACACTTGATCTGAAGTTTTAAATATCTATGTATATGTTAGTTTCATCCGTGCTGTTCTACAGAAATTACAAAATTCGACTCGGAGAATGTTTCTTATTCCTGTAGTACAGCTTCAGATGAACACTAACATACTTAGTATCAACCTTTATTTGGATTCATTTATATTTTCATTATGACGTTTCTATATCTATTTTCACGAACGCGGTTCTATTATTAGTTATTAACTTTAGTTTAAACATATTTTATTCATTAATTTTTACAAGCATGTAACATTTTTACATCACAATATATATGGATTGGAAAACAAGCATAACACTTATATTAATTCCTTTACATGATGGAGTTTCGTCTTTATTATTTCACTTTATATGATCAGTGCATGTTTTTAAGTTCAAAATTGATCTAAATTAATAATTTTTCGAAAGGTTTTACTTGGTTTTTTGTTTATTCATTTTCCTTTTTTAATAAAAAAAAGAGAAGAAAATGAAAATAATAATAACAATAAAAAAAAGTTGTGTCACACAGTTTGTCATGGAAATACGATGTTTACAAACGCTGAGTCGGGAATTATGAATCGAAACGCTTTGATGCTTCAATGAAGCTCTGGACAAGTGTGAACAGATTCTGATTTATGTCCATACTTAGGCGACCATTGCCGAAAAGAAGATTATTAAGGGTTGGTGCACAGGGTAGGTCGTCAAAGAATTGCTGACGTATGATATGGTACTTAGGACAACTGAGCAGAAAGTGGGAAACAGTTTCTATAGCACAACATGTACACAAAGGAGACGAGATTAAGTTTCTTCTATGTAATTCGAAATTAAGAGAGCTGCGTCCAAGTCTGAGACGAGTATGGTTTACTTGTTTTTTTCCTGCTGCCAAAATTATACAGGTGTTTTTTCTTTTTGACGACATATTTCTGTAGTTGAGTTTGTGTTTGAAAGCACTTACTGTGGATGCATTTCTAATATGTCTAGGTAAAGAATTCCACTGGCGAATAGTATATGGAAGAAAAGCAGTAGCATATGATTGGGAGTTGCAGTGTATTAATGGGATATCGGTGTTTGAGCGAAGAGTGTAGGATTGATGAAAAGATGTTCTTGTATCAGACCAGAGAGATAATCAGGAGCGAGACCATTTTTCATTTTATACACGTACGAGACGATGTTTTCTTCTCCTTTCTTCGAGTGTATCACAACTGAGGTCGCTAATTAATTTGTTGATGTTGCAAAACTTAGTAGCTCCCGTGTGACGATTCTTGCTGCTTCATGCTGAACTGATTCAATATCATTTTTTAGTTCATTGCTACAGTTATCCTACATCACGTCGGCATACTCAAGCAAATGTCTAATAAAGGCTACATATAATTTCTCCAATCCCGCTCTAGAAATAAGAAATTTCAGACTTCTAAGAATACCAATTCTCTACCAAGCTTTATTAACATTTGATGTTATATGTGATGTCCATTTACCATTTTCAGAAAAGATGACACCAAGGTGCTTGTGTTCTTTTACACTAGAAATTTTCACATTATCAAAGACTAGACAAGGGTGTTGGGGTTTGTTTCGTTTTCTTGAGAAAAGGACATGTTCTGTTTTTGAGGGATTAAATGAGACAAGCCAAGTTTTAGACCACACAGAAAGTTTTGAAAGATCGCAGTTCAATATTGCAGCAGAAGAGTTGGGATCTTCGACAATGATGTAGAGACTAGTGTCGTCAGCAAAAAGTCGAATGTTTGCTTCAATATCAGTGACTGTCATTAATGTATATTAGAAACAGGAGAGGGCCTAAGATGGACCCCTGAGGTACTCCAGCATTGATATTTAAAAGTGTTGAAGAAGTATTTGATACGATGACTCTTTGTTTTCTGTCAGCAAGATAAGATGAGAACCACTTAAGAAGAGAACCTTGTATGCCTAAAGAAGAAATTTTATAGAGGAATCCTTGGTGCCAAACTCTGTCGAAAACTTTTGATATATCACAAAATACTGCGCGAACTTCTTTTCCTTCATCTAGGGCTTTCCTGATGTCATTGTAAAGAAAGGTTTGCTGATTTATGGTTGAAACCCCTTTAATGAATCCTGACTGAAATGGTGTTAATAGTTTATTTGAAATGACATGGTTATACAAGTATTTATGGATGCATCTTTCCATAACTTTTCCAAGACAGCTTAATAAAGATATAGGTCTGTAGTTACATGTTTAAGAAGGATCGGACTTTTTATAAATAGGCAAGTTTCCAGGAGGAGGGAAATACAAATTTTAAAAGAAGTTTGTTGAAAAACCTTGCAAGGGGTACAGCTAGTTCATCCTTACCTTCCTTAATGAGCCTTGGGCTAATTAAGTCCGGACCAGGTGCTTTAGCTGAGTCCATAGAGTTGATAAAGTTCTTAACGTCTTGAGTAGTGACTGTTACACCAGAAATGAGGACGTTTGTAATGATTTCAAGAGGTGGAAGGGGATGGTATGGGTTTTCGATGGTTCATTGTTTGCTAAAATAGGTTTTTAGAAGGTCAGCTTTCTCTTTGTTTGATTCCGCTTTTGCTGAGCCATCTGTAAGTGTTGGTATCGTTGATGCACTTTGTTTTTTTTTGTTAATTTTTTTGCAAGTTTAAACCAGGTTTTTGCTGTGATGTTGTCTGAATTAATTTGTGTAGTTAAGTTATTTTGATAATCTGATTTAGTTTTTTTATAAGTTTTGTGGTTTCATTCCTAATTTTTCGAAAGTTAGCCCAGGCATTTTCATTATTAAGCAATTTAGCTCTTTGATGAAGTTTCCTACGTTTTCTTATTTGTTTTTTGACATCATTATTTATCCAAGGTACGTCATTTGGCCGGATAGTTACTATTCTGCTTGGGATGCTTTCAGATGCTGCGTTAAGAATGTTTTGGGCGATACAATCTGCAATATTAACTGAGTTCTGATCGTTGTCAATGAATGACCAGTCAATTGAACTAAGATTTTCGTTATATTTTTGATACTCACCTTTATCGTAGATCCAAATTTTACGACGAAAACAGTTGTGTTGTGGTTTAGTAAAATTAAGTACTGACACTATTGGACAGTGAAACCTTACTA